GAGTGCTCTCGACTCCCCAAGTCACTAGAGATTTTTTCATTATGAAATGTTCACGTAAATATTAGAATTCATTAAATTAAAACTTTTATTGAGTAAAAGATTATTTATACTGTGAGGAAAAATATATAATATATAATATTTTATGGCTAACCTGTTTCTTAGATATAACTGACTACTATTTTTTTTAATAGGATAAGGGTATATAAAGAGTACAGTAGATACTAATAAAGAGAAGAGTGATATTCTTGCTATGGATTGTCCTTGAGTCTAATAAAATGCCAAGCTATTTCAGTCGGTGTCCAAGATTGGTGTCTAAGGTATATCAAGGATGAGTGATAAAACCGTACGAGTACGAGTAACAAAATTGACTTTCGATAAATTAAATGTTAAAAGTTTCATTATATTTAAATAAATGTAGAAAATCTCATCAGGTTGCATATTTACTGCTTTTTCGATTAGGAATTATATTAAAAAAATATTTTCTCGTTTTTTTATGTTCATAATGATTGTGAATTTTCTAGAAATGTTGATGTATATGAGTTTTTGATTTATCGGGTTTGCGAATCAATAAAATGGCAAAATATTTTTAATAAAAGGTACTTTGATTAACCACAAAATAAATGATGTAGCCAATCTTGTCAGTGACACCTCTAACATACGGCAGCTCAGGAAGCACACGCTCAGCTGTGGCTGGTTTCACTTATTCACTGTGACGTAGATGCGGGACCTGAAGTTTGTTGTCGTGAAAATCTTGCTTAAAGTGTTGACGAGACGAAAAAAATTTCCACGGTAGATAACTATGAAGGATGGTGGTGAAAATTACCGATTAAATATCTGTATGTATAGAACTTTTTCCTGTACATAGTGTAGATCAAGTCTCGACAAAAAATAAATTGACGTTCCGGGAAGTCTGCAGTCGTAAACACACATAGGATCGCCCCCATCAGTACAGCAGATTGGATAGACTACAAATCTAGGACTCTAATAAAGGACACGGATTCCTTCCATTCGCGAGTCCATTGAAATAAAAAAAGTCCTCATTTCACTAGAGAAGATGACTGAGTGCAACCATCTGCTTGGGATCCTGTAATTAATAAAATCAAATCCCAATTCAAGCATGCAACTGCAATACTTTTCTATAAGTTCATACTGCATAGATCGGACCTAAATCTAATAATTTTAATCAGAAGTTAGCTGTAGTTAACTTTGACATTGCCAAGTCAAACAACTGTTTTCGTCATGACTATGACTGCTGTAAATTATTTTTTTATTTTTTGTAGTCTATTTATTTATTTAAAACATAAAAATTTTTAATATTGATATGGTCACTATAAGATGTTGTAAGGTTAGCTAATTACGTTATAACTTAAGACAGAAGGACATTTAAGTAGGGACTGAAAAAATTAACCGACTTGGTATTATCTCACAACTTTTTACGACAGAAAAATTTTATCATAATCCTGTGGGTTCTTACATTTAGATGCTTATACTGTATCATGTCCAGTCCAAGTCCAATAGCTTGAAAATGACTTCCAATAAAGCGGTGAAGTGTTTCGAGAGTATAACATCACCATGCCTTACACCTCTCTACATTTAAGTGGGTTTCGTATTCTGGTTGTGTACTCGGATAAATATATCGTTTTCCTACTGCATAAGCACTTAAACACTTTGATGTACTTATAGTCAACTTAGAAATGCTGAAGGGACTGGTAGCACCGACCAAATTTCTAGGAACTTTTCAGTCTTCTGTAAAATTTGCTGAAGGACATGTATGTAGTCTATGGTACCTTTACCTTTTCAGATAAATAACATAACAATACCATCAAAAGAAGATCTTTACGTGGTAGAGCCATGCTTCAGCTATATTAGTAGTATAGTTGTAGTCGGTCTGCTCAACCGGGGAAGGACCGCGCTCTCACAGAATACTGGCGTAAAATAGCAGTTTAACGCTGCTGTGTTACGTATGGTGAGTGTAGAGAACCGGAGACCCTTTTTACTGGAAATGAAGCATTCAATCTTAGTACTCACGGGTGACTACGCATCTGCATTTTGATTTGTAATAGAGGATAGATGTAGATGTCTCTGGGCCGCAGCAACCACTAACCATCAGGTGGACTGTGTGCTTGTTTGTTACCCTAGTCCTAAAAAAATGCAAGCACAAATATGTACTGGGTTAATAGCGATTTTATGGGGTACGTCGTTTAGAACCGGGTTGGTATCAGAGGCAGCTGAACTAAGTAAGTGGCGCAAATACGATACTGTGAGAGATTTCATAATTATGCCCTTTGCTGTAGAAACTATGGGTACGTGGGGTCCACGTGCGGTGAAGTCCATAAAGAAAGCCCTGTTAATAAGAGGGCTGTTTTTTTTTGGATGTTTGTCCTCGTGCAATTTATGTTTGTAAACTACCTCCACGACACAGGAGAAAATACTAGTGTCGAAGTAACGTTTATTTTAAAAGAAAAAAAAGAGCAAGACGGGCGACCGTCAGAACGGTGGGGAGTAGCAATAGCGTTTTTCCCTGATACAAAACTGTATGCTATTTTTTACAGGGGTGGGAGGTGGGGGATCTGCGCACACGAAAACAATCGTCTGTCCTAACGCACACACACAACAATTAAAACAATAATATAAATAGAAAATTTTAAAAAACCATAACAGAAGACCTGATGATCTTTATACAACTGAAAAAAATTATTGAGTCATAACTAAGAATACTCGATTAATTCACCTTTCAGGAAAAAAAAAACTATAAATCTATCTAATTCAGTCATCCGTTTGGGGGCTAAAATGCCACAGATAGATACACGGAAACACAGATATACACGTTAAGCATATAATACTCCTCTTTTTCGTCACGCGTTAATAAACTAACAGTTTCACGCACACATAGATACATTATAAGAGTATCACTCGGTAACAGCGGCTACTCGGATACACACTCTGATCAGTCGCTCGATCCCTCTTCAGGTTGTATGATGGCGAGCGGCCTGTGTTGGTAAACAAATCCTATACAATACCTTAATTATTGTAATCTTTAAGTTTAAAAAGAAGTATCTAGCAATAGTGCAGTTAAAAATACTTATATATTGAAAGGTACCGCCATATTTTTGACTCTTTGATTGTAAATTTGACGTGGCACATCTTTTTTAGGAGCAAAAGAACTAAACAATTTGGCCTTTTTTAGGATCTCGATTGAGCCGCGCAACTAGATTTTGTCTAGTGAGCAGTGCGACTGCAACTAGATTTATTATACGCATAGGACCGCGTGGACTAATATTTTGACAGAGGGCAACGCCTGCGTATGGGTACTCTCTACCGATCCACCGATGAAGAGTCATACTAAGGAATAATAAATACATAGAGATGTATTTATCATTCCTTAGTAAGATGAACCGAATTGCGCACGTTACGTTATTTCTTTAATATTTTGTTGTTACTTTAAAATGAGTATTTAGTCAGATACAATCGCAAAGTGAATGAGTTATTGATACAATTCTTATTACGGGAGTTTCTAGGACATTGAGAACTTGGTGTCACACATTATGTTAGTATGTGCAGAACTTAATGTAATGAGAAATATACTTGTAAACATAATTAATGTAAAATGGATGAAATCACATGTTATCTACGTGTCTTAAATTTATAAGCATCCTAGGTATGAATAATGAATATTCTTGTAGTTTCTGTGAACAAGCTACTGAGGAAATATACAATTTTTATTATTGTTTTTTTTTTAAATAGTTATAATTTTATACAGAATTTTATTGATTCATTTATTTATTAATTTAGGCTATTATACCTGAATCCGTATTCCATAGGCTGCTGATAATGATAGGGCTCAGCTTAGTAAGCACGTCCATTTTTTGTAAATATGTAAACTTTACCCGGTACTGAAAGATCTATGTCATTTTGTGAAACAAAAAATTAAGTGATAACGAGCTTAAATGTATTTTTAACAAACTTTAAAACACGTGAAAATTATTTGAAATGCTTAACTCAAAACAACATTAATATTTCACCCATGGAATATCACTCTAAATAATTTATTAATTTCAATTTATCTCCATGAACAGGTTTCATTAGTGCAGACGACAGATTCTGTAGAATTATCATTAACTAGCCTACTATAATTGTGAAATATACGAGTAACTATTTCAAATATTAAATAATTTACAGTTAATTGTAATAATTTTCAAAACATTACTATGTTAGGATGGCAGACGAAAGCGAAAAAAAAATGGAAACATTGAATGTAGGACATTAGCCGCCTTATTCCAAAACACGGACTTAATATAGTACTGGAGTTAGTAATATATTTAAACCATAAACTAAGAAAAACGTTATTACAAAACGAAGATTATCTCTGGTTCAAGGATTATCTATGGTATTAAAGTTAATCTTTCGAGACCCCTAGTTTAGCTATGGTACTAACCTTTCTATATAGTTTGTGGTACTCTATACTAACCTCAATTTCGGTACTTCTTAATTTGAGGTGAGCGTTGTTTTCATTTGGTGTTATTAAAATCGTTAAAAATGGATATTAACATGATTGACTTGATGGATTTAGAAGATTTGGACATGCTGGAGACCACTCGGCGACCTGATAGACATCGACATCGTGTGAATCCGTTTGAATTGAGTGACGAAGATTTTAGGTATAAGTATAGGTTCTCAAAACGTTTCGGAGAAAAAATAGTGGGTACCTTACGTGAGGATTTAGTGCACGACCCTCGAGGGTGCCCATTGAGTCCTGAAATTCAAGTGGTTTGTGCATTACGCAACTGGGCTCGCCATGAAGTAAGTGCTGTTTATAATCTTGGTGGGGTCAATGTACCTAACATTACGCTAGATAAAAAGCCAAATAATACATATTATTGTTTTATTCGTAGATTCAAGACGATACAGCTAATTTACATAGTGTGTCTCAACCAGTAGTCAGTAGGACATGTAAAAAAGTAGCGGAAATTTTGTCACGGAATTCCCGAGAATTTATTAAAATGCCTACTACTTTAAATGAACAACAGGAAACCATTAGGAAATTTCGCAGTATTGCTAATTTTCCTACAGTAATTGGCGCAATTGACTGTACTCACATACGAGTAAAGAAAGTGAATGCTGATGGGGGTCAGTTATATATTAATAGAAAAGGATTTTCTTCAATTAATGTACAGGTAATATACAAATATTTTAAATAGCTGTGATTGTCTCTTAATAGCTTTACTTTATCATAATAGAAAATAATTTGTTTGACTATCTTATGGTAATAAATATATATTAAAATAAACCAGAAAAACATAAAGTACTAATGAGCTCTTATTTTACAGGTGGTTTGTGATGCTGACCTGAAAATCATGGACATTGTTACCAGGTGGCGTGGTAGTGTACATGACTCCAGAATATTCCGAGAATGTAGACTAAAACAGAGGTTTGAGGCTGGTGCATTCTCTGGAATATTACTTGGTGACAGTGGCTATCCTTGTACTCCTTACCTATTTACACCGCTGCTGAACCCCACAACACCACAAGAAGAAAGATATAATAGGAGCCATATCCGTACCAGGAACACAGTGGAAAGATGTTTTGGTTTGTGGAAGCAACGGTTTTGTTGCCTATTAAGAGGTATGTTTGGAGATATTGAAACAGCAAAAAAACAATTGTTGCATGTGCTGTACTACACAATATGGCCATCGACATGAGAGAAGATGTGTTTTCTGGTGAGAGAGATAGCATTGAACAATATTCATCTGAACCTATAGTACAAAGATATGTTACACCATCAATAAGGGGAAATATTAGAAGACAGTTTATTGAAACTCATTTTCAGTAGGTAAACATTTTTTTTTACATATTTATATAACTATTTATAATTAAAATTTATAATTATATTTATAAAATTGTCAAATTTTTTTCAATTGTCTAAATCTATGTATATATAATTTATTTTATTTTGTTATTCAGAGGCCAATTTTGGCTATAAAATTACATTAAAGATCAATAAATGTATAAGACAATTATAATAATATTTCTTTTTGATTTCAGACATAATACCCATTTATAAAGGAAAATATTTCTGCAGAGCCGTTGTCAGCTGTCAAAGAATAACAACTACATATTCACCAATATGAAATAAATTCAGGGGAGTATTGTGATAATATTTCATTTATTGAGCAAAATGCTTTTATTTAGGCTATAAATGATTGTTTCAGGGAAAGATACGGGGTACAGCACATTCCACATCAATATGAAGCTATATTATATAAAGATTTAAGTGCTGTAGAGATATGTTTAGATTTTTTAATAAATATCGTCCCTCCTCTACATTCACAGCCGGATTTCCTTTCCAGAGGTGCAAGGGTCCACGGGGAGTAGGACTGTATGATAACTAAGTAAATAGGTTTAGTTTTTTTTATTATAGTTTTTTACTATTGTATATTATATTTCATTGTTATGTAAATAAAATGCATATTAATTATAATTATTTATTTTAATTATTATTAAAAGATGTACAAATATTTGCAGCAATTAAGTACCTGAAAATAATAGTTTCATATATGAGGATATTTACAAACATGTATCTGATATAGTCTCAAATATTTAGTTTTTTTTTTATAGGATAATGGTGATAAACACAGTCTACCACACACACACACAGTCCATCTGATGTTAAGTAACTGCTGTGGTGCATAGACGTCCACATCTATCCTCGACTACAAATCAAAATGCAGATGCGTTGTCACCCGTGTGGAGTAAGATGGAATGCCTCGTTTCCTGTAAAAGAGGTCTCTCTCATACAAAATTTGTACAAAAATTTATCCAAAATTTGTCAATAAATAAGTTTAAATGTTTTATTAAAGAAAAATTTTATAAAAAGGTTATTATAATATCAAAGAATACATAAATGAAAATATTGGAAATACTGGAATTGAGGTGATCGCCACCATGGTGGTTCTATTAAAATTCATTTAAAAATTGTACAAATAAAATTATTGTTAAGAGAAATATGTTTATAAAAAAGTCCCACTGGGTTTCTTACTAGTTCTTCCCAGGACTGAGGTATTTTCCGAACCAGTGGTAAATAAAAAATGTCTTTCAATAAGTATTCTGTAATAATCTATATTTAATAAAAATCATTCTATTCTATTCTCGTTCTATAAACTCACCATAATAAACACAGCAGCATTAAGCTGCTATTTAACTTTTGTTTTTCTGACTTTCTAATAAAGATATTTGTAACTCTAATTTTCTAATTTTTAGGTTAGCTATTTTAATATTGTATTTATGTTCCTCTTCCATCATTTCCAGTTGTCTTTTTTTAAAATCTGTGTTACTTTTTACAATTGTTTGGTGTACATCTTCTCTTCTGTAAAATGAAATGGAATACTTAATGTAAGTTTTGTAGTTATTTTAGACATTTACAAAGTATTCTAGAGTAATAAAAGTGCACTTAACCTTGTACACCAATTAAAGAAATATTTTTTAATTATTTTTAAATCAATTCATATTAAACTTTGCTTTTAATATTTGAAAACATGAAACAATTTTCAGTGTTTAAATACTAATTTTCACATTTTAAAAAGTATGTAATGTATCAGACTATGTAATTTTTTCAACATACCTATTTTGCAAGCTAAGTTTCCTGTTTTTAATTTTTGTTATACCCCTAGTAATAATATCTTTATTGTTGGTTATTTTCACCATTTTGGCACTTTCTTCTGTATCTGTAGTTGGATCTATCTCTAAAAATTAATATAAATATAACAGTTTTAGAAAATTAACATTTATAATATTTACAAACTTGTATGCCTATGATTGTAACTATAATAATAATATATTTTTAATAAATATTCAATCAGTATTATTTACCTTGCACATATACAACATTGGGTTCTGGATTTTCTACATTTTTAACTATAGCTGTGTCTGTTTTTTCAAAATTAAGGCGAGGCTTAGGGTCAGCAACTTCTTTTGATGTTGTAGCCACAGCCACTGGATCCTAAAATAAATCGTTAAAACATTTATTAACATGTTTTCCTGTCACCTGTCACCTCTATTTTGCCCTTTATTGAATCAGGTATTTTCTATGTTGTAGAAATATTATTATGATCCAAGACAAAAGGTAATTTAATAAATTATTAATTATAATACCTAATAGACAAAAATAGAAAATTATAATCGGACTGTGTAGATAATCTAGTAACATGTGTGTTATGATATTATGTAGACCACTATATATTAATTTGTGACATTTCAATTTTGAATATAATTAATTATAAAGAAATTTATGTTAAATTGTTACTAAGTATATTAAATTTTGAATATTCGGAAAATAATTTTGGATTGTAAATTGTATGCTTTAAGAGTAGATTTCAGAGCACTACCTAGGTACTAAAGTAATGGAAAATAAAGTTCTTTAATTTTAATTAAATTTGTAAGACATGTAAGTAATTTTATTTACCACTGCATCACTATCATAATTATTAACTTCAACGATAAAGTCGTGAGGGGCAATGGACATTATTTCCAAGTCCTCAAGAGAAGGTGATGGAGGTTTTCCGCCACCCCCGGTCTTTGATTGTTCCCTCCTATATGTGTATAAGTTTGATTTAGCACACAACTTCATTCTTTTCCAAGATAATTTCAATTCACCATCTGATCGGCGTTTACCTGTTATCTCATTAAATCTAAAAAAAAAATACGAAATCACGTAAACAATACCGTACCTATTTGTACACATAACAAATGCGATAAGTACTTACTTATTAGTTATATTCTTCCACTCTTTTATTTTTTGAATATATACCGATGTTTTTGTCGACTTATTCTCTATTATATGTGCTGATTGTGAAATAAGTGAACGTAATATTTCCTATAATAATAAGAACATTCCTTTTAGTTGAAATAAGGATAATAGGAGGATAAGAGTATTGGTACGTACTGACAAATAAATTTCGATATTTCACTAACTTTTTCTTCAGAACTCCAATTTTCACCCCGTTTTTTCTTTTGTTCCATTATTATATAAATATAACTGTAATAGCAAGTACTTAATTAATTATTAATAATTTAATTTACTTATTATAAGGCTGCAATATAAACTATTTTGAACGTCTCGAATCCCGCGCTCGCGTTACCTCTGTAATTCACTACGTTTCACGCTAGAGTTGTTAAACTGAAAACAACTTGATATAATCAAAAGCGCGTCAAAAGTATATGTCGTGCTTGTTCAATAGATTTTAACGTAAACAAATAACAATGTATGATATGTTTTTGTATTGATGGATAATTATTTAAGCATAATTAAGTGTGAAAATAATATTAATATTTTATGAAACCGAACGTTGCATTGAATGAAACCTGTATGAACGAATGATAGAGTGTCATTTTTTGTTTTTTATCTGTGAATGATATTTAATATAATATTAACGTTGGTATTAACTGGTCCTCGGGTAGTCTGCGTTTTGTAATAAGCACACGTTTTAGTGCTGGTATTAACTAGAATATTGTAACAAACCTGGACTTCTTACTCCTAAACTTAACCCAGTACTAAAACATTTTTTTGGAATAAGACTGTAGGGGACGAAAAACAAAAATTTTGTGTTGTTTATCCATAAAATGAAATGACCCGTAACCTTAGAGTAAATACATATTGTTGTATGCATAATGGGAACCTATATTTCGACATAAGTTGAGACAATATATAATCATTTCTTATACTTATGCGAACACTACACATTTAAATAAAAATATTTTTATGGATTTTATCGCGTATAATTATTCTTTTTATAGGAAAGGGGGCAAACGAGCATGTGGCTCACCTGATGGTAAGTGACTACCGCCACCCATGAACAACCGCAACACCAGGGGAACCAGGGGAATTGCAGATGCATTACCGGCCTTTTAAAAAGGAATCGGCTCTTTTCTTGAAGGTCCCTAATTCGTATCGTTCCGGAAAAATTGCTGGGTGTAAACTATACCACAAGGAAGTTGTGCGAGTAAGAAAACATCTTCTAAATCGCACAGTGGTGGACCGCCACTCATCCAGATGATGTGGATGGTATCGGGAGTTCTGCCGCGATGTGCGTTCGTGAAATTTGGCGGCTGGGATTAATCCGAACAATACCGCAGAGCACTCCCCGTGGTAAATGCGAAAGGAAATGCAAAGAGATGCAACATCTCTTCGCAGCGCCAATGAATCGAGCCGATCGAAAAGGACTCGGTCGTCGACGACTCGAGCCGCTCTGCGCTGGATGCGGTCAAGTGAAAGGAGCTGGCACTGGGGAGCCCTTGCCCAGGGATGGGGACATTATTCCATGTGAGGCCGAACTTGTTTGGCCTTCTCTTCCAGGTGACCACGAAACTGCACGCCACTCGATATGTCGACGCTAAGGATTCCGATACTGGCTAAAGCAACAAGGGACGTGCCATAAAACTGAGGAGATACGACAAAGGGGTATTTTTAACGGTCTTCTGAGGATTAAACTGGACTAGATTTAGTCGCCCTCAATCCGAGACTTTGTTCAGCAAAGACTCGACATAAGACACAAATTTGTTCCCGTAATCGGTAACGTTTTCCCGGGAAATATTGGCACGGCCAGTGTATAGAGCATCACCAGTGCTGTCATCCGCATAGCAATGAATGCTACCGGTTTGCAACATATCATTGATATGCAGAAGAAACAGCATTGGTGATAGCACG